CGAACTCACAGAGATCCACCTGCCTCTGCCTCCCGAGTGCTGGGATTAAAGGCGTGCGCCACCATCGCCCGGCTATGTGCACTTACTCTTATTTGAAACTCACTGTGTTTGCTTCCTATTGCTGCCATGACAAATGACCACAGTCTTAGTGGCTTACTACCACACAGACTTATCCTGAAGTTATGGAGATTAGAAGTTGGAAATGTCTTTCACTGTGTTAAAGACAAGGTAAAGACAATGTTAGTTCCCCTGGAGGCTGTAGGGGCAAATCTGGTTCCTTGTCCTTTTTTGGCTTCTAGAACTCTTTCCTTGACTCACCAAGGTCTTCTCTCACTCTGGCTTTCTGACTCCCTCCATAAGGACTCTTGTGATTATGATTTTTGTTGTTGTTGTTGTTTGGTTTTTGTTTTTTTTCGAGACAGGGTTTCTCTGAGTAGCTTTGGAGCCTGTCCTGGCACTTGCTCTGTAGACCAGGCTGGCCTCAAACTCACAGAGATCCATCCATCTCTGCCTCCTGAGTGCTGGGTTTAAAGGCGTGCACTACCACCGCCCGGCTCTTGTGATTGTCTTGAGTCTCCCTTTCTGAGACCCTTAACTTCATTTCATTTGCAAAATCCCTTAAAATGTGAAAGGTAACATATTTACCGTATTTAGGATATGGACACCCTTTGGAGCTTTTATTCCGATTGCCATTTACTTTAATAAATAAAGATAAGCCTGGCAGCTTATGAGAAGAATGAACTGGCAGTAAGCAGGCTGATCTTAGAGATGAGACAGAAAGCTGCTGTGACATCAGCAAGAAAGATGCTAGGATCAGGCCTGGATGGAGGGAAACGAGTGTAGGACGTGTTTCAACGGGAGGACAACCTGGCCTTGGGTCTGTCTCAGTTCAGTGAAGAAGAACCAGGCAGTGGTGGTTTAAACGGAAGGTGCTCAAGCGTTTGAACACTCCCCAGTTGGCAGCGCTGTCGGGGGAGGTTTGGGAGGTCCAGCCTTGCTAGAGGAAATAAGTCACTGGGCGAAGGCTTGGATAGGTTATAGCCGCACTGTATTTCCAGTTTGCTCTCCCTGCTACATGCCTGCGGTAAAAGAGCTGATCTCTCAGCTTTCCGCTCCTGCCGCTGTGCCTGCCTCTTGTCACCATGCTTCCCTGCCATGACGGGAGAGCAATGGGAGGCATTAGCCCTCTGCAACCAAAGCCCAAGTAGACTCTTCTCTGTAAGCTGCCTTTGGCCATGGCTTAGCATAGCAACAGGAAGAAACAAATACAGGAGTTGATGCCGGGATGGTGGCTGTGGATGTAGATGGAAGACTTTGGAACTTTGGACTAGAAACTTAATGGGCCATCCTAGCAGGAGCCTGGAAGGCCATAGGATTGAGAGCAAAGTGGACTGTGGATGCCTGAGGTTCCAGGGGAAGCAATGACTTCAATAGCAGTGGGGCTAAGGGACATTCCTGTGATATTTTGGCAAAGAGTCTAGCTGCCTTCCACCCTTGGCTGAGGCTAAACTGAAAGGCAATAGACTAATTTCTCTGTTGGAGAAATTTCAATCCCGAATAACGTTGAGCCTATAGTGACTATTGTCGCTAACGCTTGTGTGGTCTGCAGCGGAAAGGAGCAAGTGGGGCAGAAAGAAAGAAGAAATGTAGAAATGTACAGTTTGGCTGGGCGGTGCTGGCGTATGCCTTTAATCCCAGCACTTGGGAGGCAGAGGCAAGCGGATCTCTTGTGAGGTCGAGGCCAGCCTGGTTTATAAAGCAAATGCTAGGGCAGGTTCCAAAATTACAGAGATACCCTGGCTCAAATAAATGAAAGAAAGAAAGAAAGAAAGAAAGAAAGAAAGAAAGAAAGAAAGAAAGAAAGAAGAGTTTGGAGAGAAAAAGAGCATTAGTAAGCTTAATGTCACAGCCAATGCAGATGCTGGAAGACAGACAGCAGTTGTTGAGATTAACAGCAGAAAGAACCCCCCCCCCCCCCCCCCCAAGCTAAATTTACAACTTGTAAGTTTCTGCGTCTGGAAATAAACTGCCCAGGAAAGTGGCTGCTAATGTGCTTGAGGGGCACAGGAACATTCTGGCTGTAGAGACGTGGAGGGTGCACTGGTGAAGGGGTCACAATTCTTCCTCTGCGATTTCAGAGAACCCCTGAGGTTAGGCAGCGTGTGGCAGGTGGAGTTCCCGTGTAAGGGCCCTGTGAGAAGGCAGAGGGACCTGGCATGCCATTGCGTGAGGCTGTGAAAATGAAACCTGGGTTGCAGGGGAGATTCCAAGATGTGGGTGATGAAGAGCGGTGGGACATCTGCCAAGCAGAGCTGCAGACAGGTAGAGGAACCAGTCCGAGAGGGGCGGAGCTATCTAAGATACACAGCGCCAGGGGTGCTGGGAGTTTGGTGTTCCCACTGCTGGGTTCCAGGCTTGCCTTGGTCGAGTATTCCTTCACGGTTTCCACGCCTCCCCTTTGAAATAATAATATATATTCTGTGCTAGCATATGGTGGAAGTACGTGATTTGCTCTTTTCATTTTATAGGGGGTTACAATTAAGAGATTGCCTTGAAGGTTGGGTGTGGTGGCACACACCTTTAATCTCAGCACTTGGGAGGCAGAGGCAGGTGGATCTCTGTAAATCTGAAACTCATCTGGCCTAAGGGGTGAGTTCCAGGCCAGCCAGGGAAACAGTCTCAAAAAATGAAACAAACAAATTAGAGCAATAAAACAAACAAACATTGCTTTGAGTCTCAGAAGAGACTTGGGCTTTAAGTGTGTTGAGACCGTGAAGGACCACGGTGGTGGTGGTGGTGGGGGTGAGGGTTTGAAGTCAGACTAAATGTATTTTGCATGGAAATAAGGCAACTGGTCTACGGATGGGGGGCAGAAAGTGAAATGTGCTAGTTTCAGTGAGAAATGTCCCTCATACACTCAAGCATTTGATCACTAGGTTCCCCAGCTGATGGCGCTGTTCTGGGCGGTTTAGGAGGTGCAGCCTTGCGGAAGGAAGTCTATCGCTGGGAAGAGGCTTTGAGAGAATCTAGTTTTACTTCCAGTTTGCTCTCTCTGCAGTAAATGATGGGCTCTCTTAGCTTTCCTGCTGGGGCTACCAGGCCTCCTGCTTGCTGCCCTGCTTCCCTGCCACGGCGGATTGGTCTCTCTGCAGCTGTCAGCCCAAACAAACACTTCTATAACCTGCCTACGGTCATTGTGTTCTAGCGCAGCAACAGAAAGACACTAACACATATGAGAAGATGCCTACAAGTAGAGATGGGCCAATAGGGTGATGGCGGTGCTCCCCCGGAGGTGCGGGTGCAGGAGATGGCTGCACTGTATTCTCCCTGTAAGAGTGAATTATGGGCCTCTCTTGCACGTTGCATCTAGGGCACTCTCTAGACATGCAGGACAGGTACCCTGGAGGTAGGAGAGTCTGGGGTCTAGAAGGCTCTGACTCTTGGGTCCCTTTCCTTGCTGTGGACATTTGTCGGCCCGTCCTCTACCTTCATTCCTGTGTGACCATCTCTATTTGACTCCTGGGTTCTCCATTTCCAGATAACAACGGAGGAGTCATATGTGTCTCTGAAGCCAGAATAACTCTGATATTGTCTTTATCAGTTCGTCCTGAAAGCAAGAATTTAAATTATAGAGAGGCTAACTTGCTTAAGGACCCAAACTGGCGTGTGACAGCGTAGTTATGTCGCATTCATTGCACACATGTGACTTGCACGTTTGTTTTAGTGATAGATATGCTTTCTGTCTCTATCTGTCCAGTCTGAGAGGGAGCCAGCAACCTACCATTTAGGGCCGTGGAGGCTGTGCTGGAACTTGCTTACGTAGACCAGGCTGGCCTCAAACGCACAGAGATAGGCCTGTTTCTGCCTCCCAGCTCTGGGGAGTAAAGGCCAGCGCCACCACACTCAGCAAGGAGAGGAAATTTCTAAGGAATCCAACTTAACAATGAGGCCTTCAGAGGGAAGAGAGGCTAAAGGTTCTGTCCCCTGGATGGTCCAGAAGGAGCCTGTAGAGCCCCAATTTGAAAATCTTTGTGGCCTGGGGCCATAGCTGTAGCCTCAGTAGCAGAGACCAACCGAGACAGGAGGTGTGTGTGTGTGTGCTTTCAAGTGCTTTGGAATGATCTAGGAAGGAAGAGTCTAATGGAGAAGACCTGTTGAGTTTCCTGAAGATGGGAGCTCTAAGGAAGAATTATGCCTGCTTTAAGGGCAATAAGAAAATGAGCTATTTTGGGGCTGGAGCAATGGTTCAGTAGCCCAGTGTGTACTCCTTTTGTAGAGGATCTGAGTCTGGTTCCCAGCACCCATGTCTGGGGGCTCATAACTGCGTGCAACTACAGATCCAAAGGGATCTGATATCTTTTGGCCTCTTGGGGCACAGACACAAACACATAAAGCCCGCCCCCCTCAAGACAGGGTTTCTCTTTGTAACTGCCCTGGTTGTCCTGGGACTCTCTTTGTAGACTAAGTTGGTCTTGAACTCACAGAGATCTGTCTGCCTCTGCCTCCTGAGCACTGGGATTAAAGGTGTGCACCACCACTGCCTCGCACAAGCACATATAATTAATAATAATTTTATTTTTTGAGATAGAATCTATCGTCTAGCACATTCTTTAAAAGTGTAGGCAGCCATGCCTTACTATAATCCCAGCATTCAGAAGGCAGAGGTGGGAGAACACGCACACTTGCTCACACACACACGGTGGGGGGGGGCGTACAGGACTCGTTTTAGGGAGAATAGGATTATTGGAAGACATATGGATTGCGGGGTGATGATGGAAGGGAGTGGGTTTTCTCAACGAAAGGTGAGGGGAAAAATACGGAATAAAAAAACGAATGGGCATGCTGCGGAGCCGGGGGGGGGGGGGGGGGGGGGG